GGTGGGTTTGATTAGTTGATTACTGTTGTGGTCTATTAGTATTTTAGAGTGGGAGTAATTTGTTTTTATTTAGGGTTTCAGATGTTTTTCACGTGGTGGGTTTGATTAGTTGATTACTGTTGTGGTCTATTAGTATTTTAGAGTGGGAGTAATTTGTTTTTATTTAGGGTTTCAGATGTTTTTCACGTGGTGGGTTTGATTAGTTGATTTTTGTTGTGGTCTATTAGTATTTTAGAGTGGGGTAATCAACTAACGAAACCCACCACATGACAAACATCTGAAACCCTAAATAAAAACAAATTACTCCCACTTTAAAATACTAATAGACCACAACAGTAATCAACTAATCAAACCCACCACATGACAAACATCTGAAACCCTAAATAAAAACAAATTACCGAAACAAAGCATAAAGACATTATATATTTGTTTTTAGGTTATTAGCAACAAGTAAAGGACTACACCTGTAAACCCTACTAGAATATATTAAAACCCTACACAGTGGGAAACTACTGAAATCCCATATACTAACAAACCACTGAATCTACACAGTAGGAAACTACTGAAATCCCATATACTAACAAACCACTGAAACTACACAGTAGGAAACTACTGAAATCCCATATACTAACAAACCACTGAAACTACACAGTAAGAATATACTGAAACTATTCATACTAAGAAACTACCGTAACTACACAATAATAATATACTGAAACCATTCATACTAAGAAACTACCGTAACTACACAATAATAATATACTGAAATCCCTCACACTAAGAAACTACTGAAACTACACAGTAAGAATATACTGAAACCCTTCATACTAAGAAATCACCGTAACTACACAATAATAATATACTGAAATCCCTCACACTAAGAAACTACACAGTAAGAGTATACTGAAACCCTTCATACCAAAAACTACTGAAACACCACAATAAGAATATACTGAAACCCTTCATACTAAAAAAACTACACAAAGTTACAAGTAACTGAAATCAAAATAATAGAAAATTTAAGAAACTTTACAGATTAGCAAAATACTAAAACCTAACAGTACGACGCTTCTCAACTCCACAGATAACATACACTGACACCCAAGATAAGTACAGTAATATCGAAATATTGACACTCACACTAAGAACATCCCTGAGTTCACTCAGAGAATAAATAGTATTAGTATATCTTGATGAAAAGTTCTTTACTCACTACTGAAAAATTTTAGGTGTCTGAATAACATGTGACTGTACCGTCACAGTTAATTACTCACTGTTTTCAGCGGATTACCTGGTAATGACGAGGCCTAATCTATTCTCGAATTATTTTTTATTTTCACTGACATTTTACGATTTGGTGAGGAAAAGAAAAATCCGCAAATGAATAAATAAATATTATTATATTATTGACTACAGCTATATGTGTGTCTTCTTTTATGGCATATCAAAGTGATCCTATAGTTTTATTATTTATGTGAGGTGTTCTAAAAGAGAATTCATTAGGCCTAGATGACCGATACCTATACCAATATAAATGTATTCAAGTCTTATTTCATATGATGTTAAAAAGGTGACACAGTGCAAGTTTTTCTTTTCCACTGCACAGCTAGGCCCGGCATGGCCAGGTGGGTAGGGCGCTCGATTCGCAATCTGCGGGTTCGAATCTCCGTCCCACCAAACATGCTCGCCCTTTCAGCTGTAGGGGCGTTATCATGTGACGGTCAATCCCACTATTCGCTGATAAAAGAGTAGCCCAAGAGTTGACTAGCTGCCTTTCCTCAAGCCTTGCACTGCTAAATTAGGGATGGCTAGCGCAGATAGCCTTCGTGGAGCTTTGTGCGAAATTCAAAACAAAAAACAATGCACAGCAAACAGTTTTATGACTTGGATTGTAAAATGTAAACATGTCATTATGGTTAATATCAATGTTCATTACCTATGATATTTTACAGTGTTACCACAGAGACTCGTCCATTTATTGCTGTATAGGTTCCACAAATTCTATAAAGTATCAAAATTATGAAAAAGTGTCACTAACCACTACATATTTTTCTATAATACCTCCCCCCACACACACGCACATACCTTGAGACTAATTTTTATCACTTTTTGATTTTTGATCTCATTAGGTTATTAGTATAAATGACAAGTACCTTTAGTATATCATAGGACTATGAATGTGTTTTTCTTTAATAATGCATATTGTAACAAAGAAAAAGGTTTTCATGAACTGGTATATGGTGGAACTAGTTGTTTAGTGTCGAGATAAATTTAATTGATGCCCCAGGAGAGACCACTGAACCACCTGATGAGGATTATCCCATAGCCACCCTGGTCTTGTATATATTGCGAACAATAATTTGAAATAGCACACTTAATAAAGTAAAAATATATCACAAACAAAAGTTGTTTTTTAAATGCTGCACTACATTTGTCCTCATCAAACATAATAACTCAACCACTCGTAAGTAGCCATGTTTTTTTTTACAAACAAATCGATTTACGTCTTTATTTGCTTGATAATTCAGGTAGCTTTGAGTATTGTATGTATAGAATTTATTTGTTGCACGTGATTTTAAACTGCTTGGTATATCCCCTCACAATTCACAATGAACTCGCTCATGATTTGGTTGGTCAAGGTCACAAACTTGACAAACAATTCAAGGTAAAGAAGCACTTCTGGGAGTCACAGTCTGGATCTACTAGTCATTTCATTATCACCTTCTAGTGAGAAAAGAAAACATGCAACAAGAAGATAATTAAAAAACACCATTCTTATAACTAACTTTATATTTCTACTATAATGGTTATTTTTTCTTATTAAACCTTTCAAACTAATATATTGATCCTGATAAATTAAATCATAATAACTTGAAAATTAGTGAAATCAATTCTTTTTCAATGGCAAATTGTTTTTGATTGCAGTGCGTTCTTAACTTTGTTTTAGTGAGCTCTTAGAATAATAGTTTGAGGCATATTTCAGTTTCATACTTCAAGATTGAATAATTAACAACTTAGTTAATAATAGAAATACATAATTTTCTCAAACGAACATTTCACTCTAACTTTTCCAAGATTTTAACATATTTTTCAGTGTTCGAGAGCTTAAAGTAATAGTGGTTTAAGAGTCTAAATCATTTTTTAGCTTAATGTATCTGTTTTTCATGTATGATAAGTTCATCAAATTATATCAAAGAGCCTATAGAAATCCTAACATTAATAAAAATAGCCATTTCAAATTTAGACTTCATTACTCAAATTATAGTTAATATTTTTACTAAAAACAAGCAAACCAATTAAAATCGTACAAGAGCGAAAGAGGACTTTAGCAAAAATATATATTCATATTTCTTCAAGAGACGCGGTTTGGACTGTTGACACCATATCTCGTTAATTGTGTATGAGATTGTTTACTGATAATGTTGTGGGAACGGAAGACAGTGGTTGAGTCACTGGTCACTTATGTGTCCAGGAAGAGCGTGTTCTACATGGTTGCATTTCGCCTGATCCCTGGATAAAAGAATCTCTTTTTGTCTCAGTTTCCAAAAACGTTCTCTCTCTTTTTGTTTTCAGTGTCTTTCTTTTATCCTAAATTTTTCATCTCAAAATTATTCGCACGCAGTTGTTTCATTTGGTAGTGTCTAACATGCTTATAAGGAACATATACAACATTGTGCCAATAATAATAACATGGAGAATATTTTACATTAAAGTGATGGCAAATTTTTACAGATATTTTAAGACACAAAAGTTAAGAGACGAGGAAATATTGCTTGTTTTGGTAGAAAGGAAAAAAACTTATAATAAAATTTTGTTTTTATTGCAATATAGTCTCAACAGTTCGTTTATGAATCACCTCGAAATAATTTACTTTAATATTTTTTTTTGTTGTTAAATTGCCTGGAGTGATTTAGTTGTTTACTTCTGTATTGGAACTGGGCGTGACCTAGTGCTTAACGTTGCCGGACTGTGAATCCGAGTCTATGGTTCGTAACCTTTTGCCGCAAAATCGCGCTCCGCATCTTGGGTGCGTTTAAGAGAGAAGATCAAATCCTACTATTCAATTAAAGTAGCCCATGAGTTGGAGGTGGGTTCTGTTACTAGCTAGTTGCCTTATCTCTTGTTTATTAATTCAAAATTAAGGACGGCAAGTTCAGAGAGCTCTTGTGTAACGTTGCGCAAATAACCAATATAAACAAACAAACTTCTACACTTACAGAGAGCATTAATTTTACCGACAACTTCTGCCTTTTAATATAGAAGTCTGTATTTAACTTCAGATTTATTATTGTAACTAAAATAATACTTGGTATGTCATAACATAATTACATCCGTCCCTTCTCTAACTTATTTAAGTTTATTTATTTTTCTGTCACATATAATTTTGGAATTTTTCATATCGCACTGATCCAAACTCTTTCATAAGAATTAAACAGCCGATTTAAATTTTTCTAGGAATCAGAGTTTCTTTTATTAGTTTTCAAGTGAAATGAAGTATTGAAAATAAAAATGGAAAAATAAACCTCCAGGTAAATACCACAAAGAAGGAGAGTGATCATGTTACTGCAATATAAAAACAGAATACATCACCCACCCACCCCAACAGATGATGATAAACTTCTGTATTTACAACATCTTCACTTACATTTATACAGAGTTGGCCAACAAAACTTTTACTATACGTTCGGTTATCCTTGGTGGTTAGGGCGCTCGACTCGCAATCTGCGGGTTTGAATTCCCGTCCCACCAAACATGCTCGCCCTTTTAGCCGTTATAATGTTACGGTCAATCCCACTATTTGTTGATAAAAGAGTAGCCCAAGAGTTGGCGATGGGTGGTGATGACTAGCTGCCCTTCCTCTAGTCTTTCACTACTAAATTAAGGACGGCTAGCGCAGATAGCCCTCGTGTAGCTTTGTGCGAACTTCCAAACCAATTTGTTTGTTTTGAAGTTAAGTACAAAGCTACACAATGGACTATCGGTGCTCTGCCCACCACGGGTATCGAAACCCGGTTTCTAGCACTGTAAGTCCGCAGACACACCGCTGTGCCACTGGGGGGTAACCAAACCAAGTTAATTATCCTTACGGTAAAGATATCAACAGTAAGAACTTCTGTGTAAGATTATTTCTCTCCCTGTTTGTTAACTTAGACGTCTAAGTAGAAGAGTGTGGATAATCGACTTATCACACGACATACTTCCTGTTGCATGTATGTAACTTATGTGAGAATTGTGGAGTATCGACTTATCACACGACATACTTCCTGTTGTATGTATGTAACTTTGGTGAGAATTGTGGAGTATCTGTAGAATCGACTTATCACACGACATACTTCCTGTTGCGTGTATGTAACTTAGGTGAGAATTGTGAAGTATCTGGAGAATTGACTTATCACACGACATACTTCCTGTTGTACGTATGTAATTTATGTGAGAATTGTGAAGTATCTGGAGAATTGACTTATCACACGACATACTTCCTGTTGTACGTATGTAACTTAGGTGAGAATTGTGAAGTATCTGGAGAATCGACTTATCATTAGACATACTTCCTGTTGCATGTATGTAACGTGTGTAAACAGTGTTGAGTATGTGAAGAACCGAGACTTCTGTGCTCAGGTCAATGTTACTCTCATTTTTTTATTAGTTTCTTTACGATACTTAATCTTCTACTGTGATTATAGTCTTCAGTATTCATATCTCACTTTTAAGGGTTATAATTCTTCGTAAAGGGTCGTTCATTTTTGTAGATCACTTTTTTTTCTTTTCTGAAAAAATCTTACGAAAACTCGTGTTTTACATGAAACATCGTGACGCTGTTGCGTCGGCCTGTAAAACATGTTCTGTGAATAAATAGACGAAGTTATGTCTTATATAACTTTCACAGTTGCAACACTAATGTTCAAATACATAAATTTATAAAATTGTGACATTTCCCGTCGGTACCACATAAACAGCAAAGCTTCGAGCACGATACTTATGTCAGACACAAAAACTTCGTGAGTACATACTTTGTTTTTACCACGCGATTTCGTGAACTTCTTTATCGCCGTGGAATTACTTTTAGTGTATATAAACATCACTGTATGATTAAACAATGATGAAGAGAAAGATGCGATTTCGACAAATACAAATAACTGTGAAAAGTACGCATTTGTGTTTCTGTTGAAATAACTCCAAAAACATGGCTCTTATCTCAAAGAAGGTTCAGGCGTGGCTTAGTGGATAGCATGCTCGAACAGTCAATCCCAGGGTTCGCGATCTGTGGTCCGCACTTTGGAGCCGTCTATGCGCTATAAGAGTGACAATCAAATCCCACAATCCCAAGAGTTGACGATAGATGCTATTAGTTCAACATTATGGACGGCTATGCGCAGATAGCCCTTTGTGTAGCTTTGCGTGAAAATATTGGAAAAAAACCTCAAATAATACGCGCTCTTCTTTTTGTCAGTAACTATGTCTCAATAGCTTAAATATCAAGTTTCTTCACCCTGCTTATCACTAATTATATCGGTAGCAATAGCTTTGTGTTAGGAATCTGGCGATTCTCTTTATTAGATTGTTTATACTTGTAGCTGGGAGTATATTTTGTGGAAATCATAATTTTAACTATTTCTGTGACAAATCCAATATTCCCACTGAAAATGTCGTTCTTTTTTCTATATCCAACAGTTTTACCGTAACGTTTTTTTAATGTATATTCAACGACGGTGTTGTGACGTAGTCTGTTGTATTTTTTAATTATCCATCAATTATGCCACGAGTTTTTAATATATTCAACAGCACTACAGTATTTTTTTTTCATTTGCCTACCAGTTTTTATTGTTTCCATCAACCTTGCCGTAACATTGTTTTATTGTATCCAACAGTTGTTTCGTGACATTGTTTTTGCGTTTTTCAACAGTCTAGCAATTTCGTTTTTTTTACTTTATCCATCAGTTGTGCCGTGATATTGTTTATTATTATTATTGTACCGAACAGTAATGTCATGGCATTGTTCTTTTTATTCAACAGTAGTGTCGTGGCATCGTTTTTATTATATCCAACAGTAGTGTAGTGGCATTATTTTAATTCTATCCAACAATAGTGTAGTGGCATTATTTTAATTCTATCCAACAGTAGTGTCGTGGCATCGTTTTTATTATATCCAAGAGTAGTGTCGTGGCACTATTTTTATTATATTCAACAGTAGTGTCGTGGCATCGTTTTTATTATATCCAAGAGTAGTGTCGTGGCACTATTTTATTATATTCAACAGTAGTGTCGTGGCATCGTTTTTATTATAGCCAACGATAGTGGTATGGCATTATTTTTATTGTATCCAACAGTAGTGTCATGGCATTATTTTTATTATATTCAACAGTGGTGTCATGGCATTATTTTTATTATATCCAACAATTGTGTCATAAGATTTTTACTACATCTAACAGTTGTGTTGTGAGATTGTGTCACATCCAACAATCATTTCGTGTCAGTATTTCTTAATCACATTCAATAACATTGAAGATGGGATTTTCTCTCCCGTATTTAAAAGTCGTGTTGAGAAAAGAGGTTTTTTTTTATCCATATATTTAAAATTCATACTCTCACTTTTTTTCCAGTCGTGCTATCACAGTACCTTTACCTAATTACAACAGTGGCGTTGTAACACGACGTCTTTACCTAAATTTATTTATATGCAACGGTCATGCTATCCATGCCAGAGCCGTTGCAGTAACACATACAAGGAAGGAAAAGTTGATAAGAAATATAATAAGCGTACAGGACAAGGGTCATTTTCTTCCTGACGTTCTCACGGACTGGGGTTTACTGGTGCAGGTGAATGATTTCCCACGACATCTGATCTTGTCACGCTCTAGTGTTGCTGTTTTGCTCCACAACATTTAACAAAACCAGATTCCAGCAAGATAGATAAATCCACAATAGAACCGAGACGTTATGGTAGAAAGCTAACCAGGTGTCACTTATCAGAACGTACTGCTAGAATACCTGGCTTGATGAAAGTTGTGTTGTGTGTGTGTGTGATACACGATGTTGCTTAAGAGTGAAAGTTTTGGTTTCGATGAACTTTAACATCACGCACGTTTACTCTGCTAGAGAACAGATCATAAAGGATATTTACTAAAAAGTAAAATAATAAAAGTTACTATCTGAAAGAAAAACAACTGTAAAATATATGTATTTTAAGTTCAATATAAAGATCTAAATTATTATCAATTTTTAAAGTGTGTACAATTTTATGTAAGACAAACAATTACACCAGAACTAAATTAACAAGAATTTGTTAAAAATTAGACTTATATGTAAAATACAGAATGGTCCAAAATTATCTTCCATATTTAAAAAGTAAATTACTAAGGAAATACAATCATGCAGTTTACAACATCTTGTAACCCAACTCAAACATATCTTATTGTCATGTTATTTTTTTTTTTACTTCCAGTGAGTAGCGTTACCCCTTAAAATGACAACCATGAAAGAAAAGGCTCAATGCATCGTTTGGCTTGCAGAGACCAAGTCGTTGACTGTGGTGCAACGTAATTACAGATGCCATTACAGGAAAGAAGTATGGGGGTATGTTAAGGATATCGTCTATCGCACACCTATAGCAAATTTCAAGGAGCTAAAGACCAGGATAACGGATGCAATCGCTTCCATAACTGTGGGCATGTTTCAGTGAACGTAGACTGAAATCGAATATCGGTAAGAAGTGCTGAGAGTCACTACTGGTGCACACGTAGAAGTTTGATAATATGTCAATAAAAATTGAGTTTAGCTACAAGATGTTGAAAACTGCATGGTTGTATTTCCTTAGTTAGTTGATTATTAAATGTTAAAATAGGAAAATAATTTTGGGCCACCCTGTATATTCAATAACAAATTTTAACTTTCTTTAAAAAAACCTGAACATTAAGAAAACTTAGACGTAATAACAGAGAAAACAAAATATAAATAAATTCAAAGATAAAGAAATAACCTTATAAAGAATTAATGGTGGTGAATGAAATTGTTGCTATCCTCTTACGAGATAAGTATAACAACAGTAACAATACAAACTGGTATAAGTGAAGAGTGAGAATATATTTCTCGATAGTAATAGAACACTAAGCTAAGAGTAAATACATAAACAAAATAAACCCAGACATCAATATCCACTTACAGCAAGTATACAATAAATAATTCATCATGTCGCATCACATACTCCATGTGTGGTATGTATTAACAGCTTATTTTCCTTTTTATTTATAGTATGAGTTAGTTGTAAGAACTAAGATCACATACTTAACAAATAAATTATTCAAGAGACTTGACATATATATAGAAGCATAAATTGGTTGGAACGATTAGAATAAATCAGAAGTTTGTAACACTTGATGTGCAAGTAAAGGGAAAAACATTAATCTGAAATTTTAAATAAAGTTTGAAAGGAAATGAAAAATCTGAAAACTTTCGAGTTTGTTTGAGCACAAACCTGTTTAATGGGCTAGTTGCATAGTGCCCACTGCAGGTAGGGGTAAATAAATTCCATAGTTCTTAAAAAAAGTAGACTATCTAAGTATGAGTGCAAAAGCACAATGCATTCTAAACTTTAAATATTTGAGACCAAGTTGTTCATATTACATATTTACATGTCATCAAAAAACTGGATCCGGTAGTTATTCAAAGGCAAACGGAAAAGCGATGCCGATACTTACGTCAAGAAATATGGTAGTTGTAATCCCTTAAACTGAAAAACGACAAATTTGTGCAATGATATTTAGACCACTAAAAAGGAAAGAAAGGAGTTACCTTGAAACCTTTAAACTGCTGGCAAGAAATAAACGACACTTCATCTGGAAAGCGAAACTGTTTAAATAAAAATAATGTAAAATAAGTTAATTTAATGTAATACTTAATAAGTATTGTTAAAGACACGAGGAAAAAAATATTAATAACTTGCTTTTCCTAAACTTCATTTCGATATTTTATACTTGAACGGTAGTTTATGCGACACATGAGGTCAGGTCAGTTTGGTTTGTCTGAATTTCGCGCAAAGCTACACGTGGGCTATCTACGCTAGCCGTCCCTAATTTAGCAGTGAAAAGCTAAAGGGTCATCACCACCAACTCTTGGGCTACTCTTTTACCAATGAATAGTGGGATGGCCCGTCACAATATAACGCTCCCACGACTGAAAGGGCGAGCATGTTTGATGGGATTGGGGAGGGCGAACCCTCTACCCGCAGTTTGCAAGCTGAGCGCCTTAATAACTTGGCCATGCTCAGAAAAAGGGCAACACCTGCCGCCTATGCAGAACATCTGAACCGAGTGTTGGGACTGAATGCACAGTTATAGCACCACCGCAGCTAAAAGTATGGAGCGTGTTCAGCGACATAACACGGCTCAAATCTTGAGCCTTCAGTTCCCTAGCTCGGAACGCTAACAGGCCACGCCCGGTCATGTGTCTTTTTACAATCATACATTAGCTCTTATACTTCTTAGTAACCAATTTGTAACTGAACAATCCACATTTAACAAAATGCACTTGTGTCTGACATAGTATTCTAATAGCATAATTATGTTATCGTCTTTGACACTAATGGAGACCTGCAAAACATTTGCGATGAAATTAGTATCTTTATTGCAACAGTACTTCTTTAAATACAGAATTTCTGGAATAAAACAAAATAATTCTAATCGCAGACACTGAAATCTATAAGTCCACTTATCTTAGGCCTGACATTAGTGAAGCCTTTATTAAGTACGGCCTATATTCGATAAAGAGATAAATTAGCACTGTCAATTGTTTTGTTTTAATTTAGTTAGGGCTAAACTTTACCGTATATAACACCATCAATAAATAAACCGATATTATTATTATGCTACGACCTAACGTTATACCTTTTTAAAAACTTTGATGAACTTTTAATTTGTTGTTGTACAAAATGTCTACCAAAGTATATTTACATTTATCTTTTGTTTACCTCCGTTGAAATACAGGACAGACAAAAACTGAGTATTATTATAATATATTTATATCTTTTAAATACGTACACACAACAGTACATTTTTCTCACATCCTTACAAACATCTTTTTTTCGATCTCTTCCTTTAAAAATTCCTCTCATTTCTTCTTAACTAGTTTACCACTTTTACGACGTGAGCCTATCCTACTTCAATAATTAGTTAACGTAACTACGTGAACCTATCCTATTTCAATACTTAGTTAACGTGACTATTTGAACCTATATTCGTTAAATACTTGGTTAACAAATAAACTTAGTATTCCGAAAACTATTTCTAACTATTTCGGAATACTAACTTTATTTATTGGATCTGCTATTGTGTGGCAATATAATGTGAAGAACTGAATAGTGGCCAATGACACGTTTTCTTCACTTCACCTATCCAGTGTATAGGTTTTTTTCATAGTGACTACTAAGCACGTTCACACCAACAGTATGTTCAATATTTGGGTAACGTGACTGTATAAACCTATGCTACATCATTACTAAATTAACATGACTATATGAACCTACACTACTTCAAAATTCAGCAGCTAGCATGACTATATGAACCTACATTACTTCAATACTCAGTTAGCATGACTATATGAACCTACACTACTTCGATACTCAGTTAGCATGACTATATGAACCTACATTAATTCGATACTCAGCTAACGTGACTGTATGAACCTACATTACTTCAAAACTCAGCTAACGTGACTGTATGAACCTACATTACTTCAATACTCAGCTAGCATGACTATATGAACCTACACTACTTCGATACTCAGCTAACGTGACTGTATGAACCTACATT